TTTTTGACAGAATTATGCCCCTTTTTGACTTAGAAAATACATTGAATATGGGTAAAATCCACTTATTGCCTTAACCCTTTGAGATATTGCTTTGAAACTTTTAATGCTATTTCACATCATTACCCCCATCTGTACGCAAGAGAAGGTAACTCTGTCAAGGATTTGTTTTAAAAATTAAGGCCTTTTATCGACTTAGAATCTTGGTTAAGTTTTTAGTACCAGTCCACTTTTTGACTGAACTGTTTGAGATATTAATTTGAAAGTTGGAATACTTGTTTACAATCATGATTCCCAAACATGTCCAGGAGAAGGTAATTCTGTCAAAGATTTTATTTGAATTATGGCCCTTAACTGTCAATGTTTTGTATTATAGGCAAGCACTAAAAAAGTTTTTTTTTCTTTCTTACCAGCCCTCTTTTGACTTAAACATTTCAAACTTTGCTGCAGTGTTCAAGGGTATCACACAATTCAGTAAAATAATTCTTCACTAAATATCTTAATGCTCATGGCCATTGTTCACTTTAAAAATACAGAGATTCTTGTATTGCCTTTTACTGCAAAAACTTTTTTTATTGGCAAGCAATAAAAAAGTCGAGCGCGCTGTCTTACGGACAGCTCTTGTTAGATTTCAAATTTGTTACAAATATAAAGTGAGATAATTACAGCCTAAAAATCAAGCAAGGAGAGTATTAGTTGTAATTCCACATTTCACTGGCATGCCAATGAGCAATTATACTTTAGGACAGTATCTAAATGATGTGTTGGCAGATTAAATTGTTCCCAGCAGAGTTTCCATATAAAACAATCTGCAGCTGATGTGTGGTCAGGTATAAAACAATTCTGACAAGATGGGTTAAATGCTGATCATTGACCAGTCATGTAGCACTACATGTTAGTTTATAACAGGCAGTTATACTCCACTGATTTAATTCAACCACAGTATAATGATATTAAAGGTTATAAGATGAGGCAATTCAAATTAACATGAGGTTGAGACAATATAAAATGCACAATAATAACTTATCTGTTCATTCCTTTCTCTTCATGACTGTACTTCTAAAAATCAAAAATGTCAGATGACTTTTCAGCCTTTATTACTCCATCAAGACAGAAAGATGTAACAAAGATACATTTAAGGTTATTTAGTTCTGTTGCTAGTAGTAATACTAATGGTAAGATTTCATCTAGATCTATCTGTCTTCATTAAAAATATGGTTTTTCATTGCAAAAGTCAGCAGTCACTGATTTTTCTCTAATTGTCTTCTGTGTCTGTTGGTCATAATTATTTATGTTTTAAGTCATACATAAAACAAGGTATTAGATATATAAGCAACACTTTTTCAAAAGGTATTTAAAACCTTAAATTATATTAATAAACTGTACTATATGGACATAGATATAAAAAATTACAAAAAATTACCATCTTGTTTGAAAAATGACAATTGAAATACATGTATAACTCTTCTTACTTTTGTATCTGTTTTTTTTTACAACAACAAGAAAGAATATGTTATTATTCAAAGAAAAGTGTTGGTAGTTTCATATTTTACTTGGTTAAAAAGTGTTAATAAAGAATCATAGGTTTTTAATAACTACAAATAAATAAAAATGAAAAATGTCCTTGAAAAGATTTTTTTTGGTTTATTGAGACAGGTACTTGTTATTTTACATCAAATAAGAAGAGGTTGGAGTAAGAAAACCTGTTAGATTTTCAATTTGTCTTATAAAATAGGGGCATCAAAATATTATTTAAATAATGATTACCTTGATACAAATCTAAACTTTTGTTAAAAATATAAAGTATGTTTACTATGCCGATTTCAAATTTATAATAATCATTTTAAGTTGTTACCCTTTCCAATTTCACACAATTCACAGGATGCATTAAACTTAAATTTGTTCTTTATTTAGAAAAAAATCAAAATATGGCCCTACAAAAAAAGACAAAAATTAAAAAAAAAAAAATGCCTCTTCTGGGGTTTGAACCCACACCCTATCAGAACTCTATGTCCATACTCTACAGATAGGATTCTGCAGTTTTGTTAACCCTTTCACTGCCATAGGGTCCCTGTTATTTTCGGCGTATTTGCCATATGGATGGCTTTAGTCGTTTCTATAATAATAATAGTAATAATAATAAGTTAATAATAATAATATTAAAAATGAAATAAATATAAAGAAAATAATACCACCAACAATAATTATTATTTCACTCACAGATTTGGAAACATATATAATAATTATAATACTAATAACAAATAATAATTATTATATTAACTAATAATATAGTATTTTCTTAGAAAACCCCCTGGAAAATAGGTGATCAATAAAACAATAACCCTCTGGCAGCGAAAGGGTTAAGAAAGGACCAACTTTACTTGACCCCGTAATAAAGTATGCGTTCGAATACATACAGTATCACAGTAGTTTATTCATTCCTCTATTTGAAAAGAGACATAATAATTTCATAGATTTTAATGAATTAATTTTGTTAAAATATTTTACTCAAGGATGAGCATAGTATCTTTAAGCTATTTCAGTTTATTAAGTGGTAGTTACACAAAATATAGAATATTAATTATCGAATTCTTATAATATTAAAGCATGATATGTACATTATACATATTTACTTTGTTATTGTGAATCCTTTGATTATATAATCAATGATTGATCGAAAAGGGTTGTTTAGATTATTTACGATGATCGATTATGATTTTTGTTCGATTAAGAAAATATAATAAACAAGATCAACAAGGAAAGATGGCGTTCATGATCCAGCAACAAGAGCCAATATAATTTTGGACCCCTAAAATTTAGGCCTGGACCCCTAGTTTTCTAGGCTATCATAGTTACCCTGGTTACCTTTGACTTTCCACAACTGTTTTCCATAAAGTACAAAAGCACCGAAACCGTTTTGTGAAGGCATCGAGTGGAGAGCTCTTGGAAAATGTCACTTCATACTCACCCCACTTACCATACCCTTTGGCAGTGACACAATATTCCTCATTATGTATCTCTGCCATTGGGCACAACTCATTGGTAAAAAATGCCCCCCCCCCCCCCCCCCCCCCCCATGAAAACCTCTTCCATATCACTTAGACAGCCGATATTTTCTATACCCATTGGACAAATATTACTTTATGACCGCTTGGACAACACATCCATAAAAAATGACCCCCTTGGACAGACAATATTTTCCATAACCCTTGGACAATTGTTAATAAATGCACCCCCTTGGACAACACACCAATAAAAAAGTGACCCCCTTGGACAAATTGACTGAAATACCCCCCTTGGACATCTCTTCCATACCCCTTGGACAGATATTTTCCATACCCCTTGGACAATCATTTATACACATGCCTTCAACAACTTATTAGTAAAAATGACCCCCTTGGACAAATTGTCTAAAATACCCCCTTGGACATCTCTTTCATACCCCTAGGACAGATAATATTTCCCATAACCCTTGGACAAGCATTTATACATGCGCCTTCGACAACTTATCAGTAAAAAAATGACCCCCTTGGACAAATTGTCTAATTTAATACCCCCCTTGGACATCTCTTCCATACCCCTTGGACAAATAATATTTTCCATACAACCTGTCTTTTTCAAAACAATACCCCCTTGGACAGTGTTATCTAAAATATGACCCCCTTGGACCTAATTTTTAAATACCCCCCCTTGGACAAAAAAATACCTCTTCCATAGGGGGGGTGCGGATAATTTCTGGAATAGCCCAATGCAGTTCGTGGTTGGACTTGGAAAAAGACAGCGCCCGTCCAAAATTATCTCGGTGTCTCTTTGACAAGTCTAATAAGTTGGACTAAGGCGTTGTAAGCTCAACACCCCAAGTGTCTGTGACATCATGCACAGTGCTTTAACTGGAGTGCAGGTTCAGTTACCGGCACTCAAGAGCAAGCTCATTGATTGGCTCATTTTTTCTGGGATTTACTTGTTGTGACGACAGAGAACAGGATAGCAATAGAAATATCATATTCAGATGCTCATTCATTGGTTTTCTTTTTCTGAGGTTTCATGTTGTGACTGACAACAGTGAATGTGATTTTATTTTTGACATGATAAAATTAAAAAGAGAGAAAGAACATCAAAACACTCTGCAATCTAACTTATACTTGGGGCTACACTCCCTCATACAAATTAAGTAGCCTTGTATTTAGATGCTCTCTCTATTACAAAGAAGCCATTAATTTATGCATTAAATATACATTTTAAGTCAAGCCATGTGAAAATAAAAGCTAAATTTAATTTACTTGTGTAAACAATCATGTATCATGCATTTTCTCCATGTTCAAATTATTTGCAAATTATAGATTATATTATAGGTTTATATACTCAGTGTTTTTTCCCCTGCTTTTGAGAATGGTGCCGGTACTTGACAGATTGGGAAAAAATAGACCTGGGGATAATTACATTGATCAGTTATTGATTTAATTACAGTTACTTTCAGATTTTATTGTAATTGATTAAGTTTACTCAGACTTGCCTCTGTAATCAATTGAATTACAATTACTTTAAGAGAGTAATTGATTGATAATTAATTACATTCAATGTACAGTAGAATCCCTTTTTAAGATCACCCAATCCATTGGTTTTTACCGTATATCACTTATCAACGGCATTACTGTCTTTGTTAACCTTTAAATTTGCCGATTTTTGAAGAAAATTTTCATTGTTATATGGCAATTTATCAGTCATGAATTGAGAAATCTGCTATTTGCTATTGGGAACGGTGCCATTTTCCGTTATCAGTTATATAAGGAAAAAAAACACTGATACTATAAGCTTCAGAATAGATCAGATAAGAGAATTTTTATTTCAACTTCAAGTTGACAGGGATAAGGTTCAGATCAATACAAGAAGCTTTCATACATATCTAATAGTTACATGTAAAGTGTTAAGTATTTAAATGTCTCAGGTTCTCTTTATCTTTAGAAATAAAAGAAATCATGTTGACAAAAAATTTTAATGTTTTTTTTATATTTTCTTCAGAAAATGAGGTTATCATCAATACAGACTTTGAGACATTAAAATGTGAAGACACCTTGCATCCTGTGAAGATAATTTTTATCATTGGAAAGGAGTACCCAAACCAGTTACCACAGATTTCAGTCTTCTCAGAAAATCTTGACAGGGAAATTATATCTAGAGTGAAAAGGAAAGTGCTTCAAAACTGTTCTGAATTACTTGGTGAACCAATGCTTATTTCTTTGATTATGTTGATCAAAGAAAACTTGCAACTTGAGGTTGAATCTGAAATGCCATTGACAGGAAAATCTTTATGTAAAGTTCACAAAAATATGAACAATGCTAACAGTGGCAGTGAAAATATATGGACAGACATCTTACATATTGATCACATGAGATCTAAAAATAAGTATTGTAAGACTTTAGAAAAGTGGGCAGCGGAATTAACATTGTGTGGGAAAATCTTATTCTGTAATAAGCTAATAATTATAATTTTACAAGGAGATATAAAAAATATTAAGGTAAAAATATTTTTCATTCAGATTCATGTCTCTGTACATGTATTATACTAGGCTAAATCTTAAATTGTAAGAAATCAATAAAGCCTATAAAGTGTAGATCTGCTTATTTTAGCTTATCCTGTCAACAGTGTCTGAATTTTTATTTTGCTTTCCTTAAAGTTTTTAAAGCAGAGCCTCCAGCTTCATGCTTATTTTCCTGAAAAATTTTGAAAAATTATTAAAAAGTAATATATTGCAAAAAGGGCAATGTAAGTAATCTACACATTGTAAACTACCCTTACAACTAATACAAGTAGTAATATTCCATTTAAATTACCAAATATGCAACAATAGCTCTTACAGGATTAGTCAATGTAGACATATACATGTAGTAATAAATACTGCAGAATCAAAAATATGAACATATTTACTTGAATCTTGAATTCTTTTCTGAAAATCTCATCACATTTTTCTCAAATTTTATTTTCTTGAAATATTTTGGCTCATCTGGAAGCATGCAACTTTAATCAAAAGAGAAATAACTTGACAGATATTAATAGAAAACATTTATATAAGAACATGATATTAAAGGAGTCATACAATTTTTGTGAATGGCAAGTATATGTATAATTATTATCAAAGACATACTCGTACATGTATTGATGTTTTTATAGATGAAATCTCCTTGTTTTGTTTTAGGATTTTATAGTGAGATTGAAGACGGTGAGTGTTGATGTGGATTCAAAGGGACACAGTTGTAAAGAAAGAATGATGACTGTCCTGTGTGAACATCAGCATAATATATCAGACATAATCAGGTGGTGTATTTTATTTTCTCTCATATTTTAATCCTAACCTGCTGAATTTGTGTAATGAATTTGCTAGGCATTGAATAAAGAATGGGCTATTCAAAGTTTAAGGAATTTCAATGAAAAAAAAATATATAAAAGTAAAAATTGAGCTTCGGCATAGATTTTCAGTCCTTGCCTGACTCTATACTGGTGGCAAATGCAAATAAAGAATATAAAGAACATTTTTGCACATATTTCACTACCTGTTTATTCATTTATAATGCATTTGTGTTCTTTTGAAGAATCTTGCTTCTTAAATCTTTTTTTTTTATGTCATTTCTACTTCCTATAATTTTTAAAGGAACTCCACTGAGGTTCAAACACCTAAAATCATAAAGTATGAATTTCTTACATACTTCAGCTGGGAAACTTAGAACAGAAATAGAGATAAAGAAGAAATTTACTTAGAAATAGACTGAAAATTGTAGTTTTGGGCCATTCTTAGCCCATTTTGTGTGAACGCCATGTTTACTAATATATGATATGGAAGTTTTAGACTTCAAAGCAAAAATATTATTTCTTTGTCATTACAATTTACATAGAACAGTGACCCCTATGCAGTGCTAAATGTGTTCCTTATGCAGTGCTAAATGTGTTACTTAAAGTTATATATCTATTAGTGTTCAATTTTTGGTTAAATGCTTATATTTTTATTATCATATCAGAGAAATGCTCACTGACAAATATTTGATTTTCATTTATATAATTATTGAAAAAATACATGTAAAATTTACTTACATAATATCTTTATGTCAAATACTTATCAGCACTTTAATTAGGTCCAATATTTGAATGAAATACTACTATTAACTCATATTTTCATGTAACACCAGTGGTTAGAGAACTTGAAGTGCTGATTTATGATTAAAGTGATGCATTTTGTATTTTGAAAGTCCAGACATCAAATTAAGTAGCTTAATTTATAAGTGTAAAGATGCTATCAGGATGTAATCACTAGAGTTGTATTGTTATAGAATGACACGACATTTAAGTTGACATGATGTATTTTCCTGTAGGTCATATTCATGCATCTGATCGTGTATAGATTATTACTGCATCTACATATTGACAGCATCTTGACAGGTTCACCTGACCATTCATTGTTATTGTTTTTTTCTTCTTAGAGGTTAGGGGGTATAGTTCATTAATTATTATTTGGTATATACATGTATTTATAAGTTACTTAAGCTGGTGCTAGGGGTCGTAGATGGTAACTTGCATATTCAAGCACCATCCATGAACAGACTCAATCAATTCTATCCTGTAACCTTACATCATCTACTTATGGTGATTATGTATATATTATATATATATATATATATATATGAGCCGCTTCACGACAAAAGCAACATAATGGGTTTGCGACCAGCATGGATCCAGACCAGCCTGCGCAGTCTGATCAGGATCCATGCTGTTCGCTATCAGTTTCTCTACTTGCTATAGGGTTTGTAAGCGAACAGCATGGATCCTGATCAGACTGCGCCGATGTGCAGGCTGGTCTGGATCCATGCTGGTCGCAAACCCATTATGTTGGTTTTGTCATGACGCGACTCATATATTATATATATATAATATACATATATATTTTGAAAGCCCATCATTTATGGAATTATCAACCAGACAAAGACACAAACTATACAATTACACCAAGTTAAGTCACATGCTGTGACCTTGACCTTTGACCTAAAGATATGGGTCTTGTACACAATGCAAATGAAAAATCATGCCAATCTACAGCTAAAATAGTATAAGGTGTTATGCCTTTAAAATAATTATTATATGTACTGACCCCTATACAAGAACTCACATGTAAGGGACCAGCCAATTGTTAGCCCTCTCTCCACACCCCTTGTAAAGTATGCCCCCTAGCTGATAATACAATCAGATTAAAATTTCTCTCAATGTTCACTAATACTGCAAGCTAGACATGTCATTTTTTGTTGTGGTGCACATAAACAATAAATTAATGATGGAATGTAAAAACTCTAGTTTAGGAATCCTTACTGTACCACCCTTGGGAATGGAGAGGGGAGTGCATGTAAAGGGGCTTAATGGGGCCTCAATTCTGATGTATAGAAAATAAAATTTTTGATTCATTAATTATTATTGTTGATATTCTTTTTATCTTCAGATTTAAAGATTTTAACAGGCAAGAGTTATCATGCAGGGAGGAGGTAGAGACTATATTTATGGAGGCGGGGCTTATTACATTATACAGAGAACATGTGATGAGACTTAACTGATGAAATTATGTTAATATGTTTATAGAGCTTGGGAATTCTTTAGATATTCATCATGTTACGAGACATATCTGAATAAACAATGTGAGAGTAGGAGGAGTTACGCATTTAAATTTATTTGGGCAGGGATTATTTTATTATAATGAACAGAAAATGTGATAAGGCTTTTATGAATATATTAAAAGAATAGAAGGAGTTAGAGACTATTTTCTTCAGTATCCAGAGAACATGATAAATAAACTGAATAAAGTTAAGTAGAAGGACTTTATTAGCTCACTAGAAAGGAAGGTTCAGGGTGAGCTATTAGTATCAAAGGGGGATGCTCTGACGTCTGTCGTCCGTCTTCATGCGTCAACAATCATCTTCTCCTCTGAAACTGCTGGGAAGATTTACTTCAAATTTAGTCTGTAGCATCCTTGTGACAGTCACACTTGAATTTACTTATGACATTTCAATTGGCACCTTTTAGGGGAGCGACTCAGGGCCATCATTGCCCTTTTGTTTATTGAAGTGCGGCTAATTTCATTATACAGAGAATAAAGGGAAGGTAAAAGGGTTTAGGAAATAATTTATGAAGGCAAGCATATTAAATGACAATGGGCTTGTTGTGTAAAATATGTGTTTCTTTACTAGTCTAACTAAATTATTAGTTACCTTATTTGTTACATGTAATTAACAGATTTATACATGTGTATGCCTTAATCAAGACTTCAACATTTGTGTTAATGAGTGTCTAAATAATGTCATTACTATTTGAATTCTTACATGCTCTCAACTTTTAAAAGATGATAAACAAGTAAATAATCAGCCACATCCATTGCAGCAGCTAGTCACACTTATTCTGTTATAAAATGAGCCATGTCATGACAAAACCAACATAATGGGTTTGCGACCAGCATGGATCCAGACCAGTCTGCGCATCCGCTCAGTCTGATCAGGAGCCATGCTGTTCGCTATCCGTTTCTCTACTTGTAATAGGGTTTGTAAACGAACAGCATGGATCCTGATCAGACTGCGCGGATGCGCAGGCTGGTCTGGATCCATGCTGGTCGCAAACCAATTATGTTGATTTTGTTGTGACACGGCTCAATTATGATCAAAAAGAAAGAAATAACTAATAAATACAGAAATAAAGTTAATTTTCAGTCTTTAACTCTTTTGTGAATCCACATTTTTATGCCCTTTCCACTACTTCGTCTGTCTTTAGTTCTGGACTTTTGCTTAGCAACCACTGTCTAGAATTCACTACCAAGTCAAGAGGAGATAAGCATGTAGAAGCATTTTCCAGTTTAATGTTTTTTTCAGTTATTCCCCTTTTCAGTTGAGACACTTAGCCGACTTGAATTTATCAAAACTTCATAGGAATCTTCAATATATTTCTTGTTTAGAAATATTATTATTGATTTAATTGTCATTTACATTCATTGTAGTGTTCTAAAGTATGTGTAGAATTTATTGGAATGAAAGGATATATCATTTTAATTGGTTGGTAAGGTACAGTCGAGTTCACACTAAACTTCCCACCCTTGTACACTTTGTAGGTTTAATATTTGAAGTAGCTGGATAATTAAGACTGTAAGCTCATAGCTGAAATTAATAATCTTATTGAATATTGAGTCTGTTAGGACACATATGGAGAAGGAAGATCAAAGATGCCTTTTTAATGCATTATTTAAGGGGCAAACAGGCATCTGAGTAGAATCATTAACCTTCCATGACTTAGGGTAATAGATTCCTCAGATGAAAGAATGCAGTTTTCTTGCATATAAGACAGTATTATCTACTGTTTACACAGTGCTGGAAAATCCTGTCTTACATTCCCATGCCGCATGTTTTAAATGATGTTATTTCCATGTGTCTTGTATGAGTGAATTGCATTCTCAAGATGACATCATTGTGCAGGATGACTTCATTGTGCTGTTATAAATGAAGTTGTAATTTCATACGCTACTCTTAGGAAAAGTGCTCTTTTCGTAATTTCTTTTTGTTATTTCATTAATTTGTAATATGCAAGAAAGAGAATCAAAACACCGGCTGTCATCATAGGCAGGAATAGCTAGCTGTTTGGGTAACTGTTTAGTGAATCGACAAGCCTTGTTACTGCCCTAAACAGTTACACTCGAGCCAGATATTCAGGTTTGTACCAGCAGCTGGAGAAAGATCCTTATATTTGAAGTCAAAGTGGTAAGGGGCAGGATTGAGTTTCATGTTATACTAAGAGAGTTCAGTATTTCATAGAAAATGTTATGGACAGCTCTAGCTTATGACTTTTATAATGTTACATAACTGATTTCCAAAAAAAGGCCATGCAGATGAACCATGACAAAATATGGGGGCCTGCCATTGTCTACTTTAAATGGGCCATGTCTCTCACATAGTATTTTCAAGTAAAAACACTGAGTGTCACTTTGTAATATTTTCTAACAGAATTAAGAGAATGTAAGTGATTCTAAGCACCAAGATTTAAGTTTATTAAGAAGGCCTTGTGATTAAATGCCTGCCTCTCAACATAGGAACCATTGGTTTGAGCCCTACTGCGGTCACAACCACATTTCCTAATATGGCACCAGTACTGGTTTATTCCAGATTCGAAATCTATGGATTCAGATAAGCTTTAAGCTCAATCAAACAGAAGACTGTACACATTCTTGTATCATTACTTATGCTTCACATAAGGAAACATCAATTTGTCTCCAGTAGAATTCTAGCATATGTGGCACAATGGATGGGGCTGTTGACTTCAGATCATTTATCCCTAACCTTGTGAGTTTCAATCATGATAGCCTTTGGATTCTTTCTTTGCAATGTATCTAGCTTACAGAATTTACCTAGTTCTGCTTCAATACCAGAAAGTGAATTGAAATAATATAATAAAAGGGGCGCTACAGGTATTCCGGTATTCCTCCGCCAGTAAAACTTAAAAGATGACTTATGACTTTTGCAGTATCAGTTACCTGCAAATAGCTTTGTATCTTTGGAACCTTAATTAACAAGTGGTGTCTCCTCCTCCATTCACAACCCCCCACCCTCCTCCAAATCCCTAAAGAACACCAAGGCTAATGTACAAAAAAAATCTTTATTTTTTTTTTGCTATTGCATTGTAACCAATAAGAAATCAAATAAATATGTAGCAACTATATACACAAAGAAACAATATAACTTTTCAATAGACTAGCACAGTATGAATAACAATCCATTCACATTATGTCAAACAATTCAACAAAACATTTTTTGTAACAGTTTTAAACTGAAATTACACTAAAAATATATCAACATCTGCCATACAAAAATTACGACATCTTTACAAAAATAAAACTACAAATTTTACAACAAAATTATGTCACTATGTCACAAAACAAAAAACAAAAAAAATCAAATTTTGAAGAATTTTAACCTTATTTTTAAACTGGGTTAAACAGAATAATTTTCCTTGTAAAGGTTCATGTTAAGGTTCAATACATTGCATGTACGTAAATGCAGATGCATTGAAATTTAAATTGTAAGATGTTTAGACAAGGTTATCACATCTTTCAACATTTACCAGAAGTAATATACTTCAGTAATATACTTCAGTCACAAGAATTCTTGTGACAAATACAACCTTTAATCAGCAATGCAATGTACAAGTAAATAATATTTTGTGCTGTCTATATATTACATATTATAATTCTTATTTGAAAATTTTGATGCCATTTTTAAGTGATTTATTTTACCCCCTGTTATCAACCTTTTCATTCCAGTAAAAGTAATAAAAGACTGGGCATACAAAGTCATTTCTAGATAGATTTTGCCTAAATAGGAGTATTACATTTAACAGTACTGTAAATTCGTAACATGTATGTAAAAATATTCTTTTTGAAAAGATTACTGTCCATGTATTTATATTACATAAAAGAGTCTATTTAAACTCTTCACCTGCTGAATTTCTAAAATGGAGTTAAACATTTTCCAATTTTCTGAACTTGATTTTACAGATTTTGCAATATCAAGATGAAAATTTAAAGTTAGTCAGCCAACAGTATATAGAGTTTTGTCATAAGAATCCAAGATGGAGTATTTCAAGCATACACCGGGAGTTATGTTAAATAACATACAACATTATAACTATATCATAAACTTTGTCAAAACAGTCGGGTTTTTTAACATTTCATACTAAACTGATCTGGCCAATATTACACATCATTATATGGTTAGTAAACAATACTGTGATATTTGTTCAGAATACGGTTTGTAGAAAATAAATAAGTACAAAATAATGTAGATTTTTAAACAAAATTATCTTTTCATACAAACACCTATTACATTTGTCATTTACCACAGTATCTTTGAGTATATAAGTATACTTAGATATTAAATAAGTATGCCATGGTAAAAAGCCATTATAAGAACTTTGATATGGAGATTATAAACATCTGGTTACGCCAAAAAAACAAATCTTTTTATATCTATGATTAATATGTATAACTCATAATATTCTATGTAGACAAAGTTTCAATATTTGCATTTGTGATTTGGATTTCATGAAAAAGTAAGATTAAAACATGTTGCCAGAAAGAATAAACAAAGAGATATGTCAATGTAAATGATATAATACATACTTGTATATATATAAATTTAGTCATGAATGCAGTCAGAATTGCTCATATTATATCAAAGAAATGGTTCCCAGGAGAGACAGATTATGTCCTGAATTGTGACGAAGGATTTTGTGTGTGTGTAAATGGTTAATGTCGACACAATGCAAAAATATTTACACTGTTTCATGTAATAGAGGATACATAGAACCCCTTAAATGACAATTATGCAAATATGAAAATATAAATAGCTTAAGACTAATGCAATACTGGAGTACAAAAAAAATATCAGATTTAACAGATGTACAGGTGTATGCTTCCAAGTTTTTTTTATAATTTTTAACATAAATTGTTCATTAAAGCTTTTCTGCATTGGAAAAAAAAATAAGAAAAAAAAAATACATTAACCATTTTTTCTAATTAATCAAGTTCCTTCAATTAGAAAAGTTATTTTCCATAAAGAATAATAACTAATTACTTGTATTTGTCAAAAAAAAAGTGTTTGCCATTTCAGCATAATACTTGTGATATGAACTTGACATGGTGAAAACATACCAAAATTTAAAATTATAAGGATAAAAAGTCCTTCACATTATATCCAAATAAATCAATAACCAATGTGGCACTTACAGAAAATATTTTAATACATTCAGTAATAACTGAAAATAGTAATAATATCAAATAATATCCGATAAATATCTATATGGGACTTAAGTTAAAGATACTGACTTTGAACAAAAAGTACAAAAGCTACTGTATAATAAAACTGATTTGAACAAGAGTTAAAAAATATTTCCTTCTCTATCATGTCTATGTCAACAAAACATTCATAAAATACAATAAACAACAATAATGGCACAAATAAAAGAACACTTTGATTAACAAATTAATGTTTAACTCTTTTCCTTCTACACCTCTTGCCTAGAATTATCTGCTTGTCATTTTTCAAACTTATCATTTACAATTGTGGGGGATATCAAGATTAAAACTCTTAAATGAGCCAGCCAACAGTATAAGAGTATGATCACACTGCATGGATATTACAGGCTGGCCTAGCTCATATTACAGGCTGGCCTAGCTCATATTACAGGCTGGCCTAGCTCATATTACAGGCTGGCCTAGCTCATTTTACAGGCTGGCCTAGCTCATATCATAGCCTGGCCTAGTGCTGTGCAGTTAGCAAAGGTTGTTCACTTTCAGTTATTATCAAACATATTTTCACGGTAATAAACATATTTGAAAGATATAAATATAAGTAAAGGATTAAAATCCAAACTGCTAACAATTCACCATTATGCCTTTGTCTAAAGCCATTTTCTGTCAATAAATCTGAATTTCACTGGTAAAATATTTCCCCATTCATTGGACTTATATGTTTTGTTTGGTTTACTGACTCATATCTATTCCCTAAAGGGCTTAGTAAAACACTAGTAAACAATCAGTTTGAGCTCATTTAACAACAAGAATTCACAGTATTGCACCGTTCAGTATACACTTAAATTCTGGTATCAAGTATTTTACCCTTTAGACCTTATAATAACAAATAAGTATTTATGTAACAAGGCTTACAATATATACAAAAATAATACATACTACATATAGTACGTAAGTATATAATATTAAGGACACACAATTTGGAATGATTTGCATTAATAATGTTACATAAAGCTAGGGGTAATTTGTATGGCAATTATATATGTAGTGTTATTTATATTTTTATCAGATATTTTTCTTTAAAAAAAATATACATGTATATATTCTAAAATTTAACAATAGTGATTTAATACCAGCATTCTAATTGATAAGGAGGAAAATAAGTTGATATTACCTTTAATTGGGTATTAATTTATTTTCAGCATGCAATACTGTAGTGTATGTAGACTCTACAAATGTATTAAAGGTGTGAAACATTACCATTTGACCTACTGAAAATGATTTATAAGTCTTTGCCACCAGTATAGAGCCAGACCTGTCTGCACTTTCACTAGTCTGACCAGGCTCTATATTGATGACAAGATTCATCATAGCATTCCAAAAATTGTCTGTTTCAAAAAAAGGAAACTGGGTGTGCATTTATTCTAAAGGTCAGCAGGTTAAAGGTGAAATAATGCCTAGCACTTTTTGAATCTTTTCTTAAATAAATAATCTATCATTATGGTATCCATGAAAATATTCAACCAGGACATTATGCACGTATGTGAATTTACATGTATAATCATACAACCATACTATACAACTGCACCATTTCCTTTGTCAAAATACACAGTTTTAGAGACAATTGCTTAACAAATTATAAACAACAAAGAAATGGTTTTCAAACCAAAAGCTTTCTCGAACAAAATACACAAAACATGAAAAATAAATACTATATATTATGACATGTTATTGACCGGGTGTAAAAAATTGATCTTATATATGTAACTTAATCTGCGACTGCCTGGGGCAGATCCATGCACAAAGCTTCTGCCGACCACGACATATGCGAATCTTCTGAAATATCCACTGCTCTGTCCTTTTCAACTAATGGCTCAACAACCACTTTCTCACGAACAACTTCCATGGACTGTTCAACCACTTTCTCATGAACAACTTCCATGGATTGTTCAACATCCTTCTTTCCTTTTGATTTTGGACGTGGGCTGCTGGTATGCCTACTTAAATGTTTTGACATATGATCACTTCTAATGAACCGTTTCTCACACAGAGGGCACACAAAGTTTTTCTCGCCAGTGTGAGTCCGTCTATGACGGGAAAGCTCATCAGATCTGGCAAATTTTCTGTCACAGCTTTTCCATGTACAAATGAATGGCTTCTCTCCTGAAACAAATAAAAACATTATGTTTTTTATATACAAATCTTTGTAGAACTTACATTTTCTATTGTGGATGGATATATGATTTCAAAATCAAATCCCTTCTTAAAAAGGTTCAAATCTAAATTTAAAAAAAATAAAAATAAAAAAAAAATAAAGTTAAAATAATGAACTTCATATATGGCTATTATAATAATAATTATAATGATAATAAAGAAATCATGTTTAATTTGATAATCTTCTTAATCTGAAATTTCACATTTCAGTCTTTAAAGTAAGATATAGTGTAACAAAACTCGGGTCAGTGAACAAAGTGATCTTACATTTTTTTTCCAAAGTAGTTGTCATTTTAGCTTCTTTACAAATTCAGTGATTTTGTTCCTTTTTTTTTAGGTCTTAACATCCTTATGACAATAAGCTATTGTTATAGTATGGTGACATTTAAAGAGACAGTGTTAAAAAGTATGTCATTTAGTAATTAATGGAAAAACATTGACAAACTGATTATAGAACATGTACTTTGTCCCTATATTATACTTTATGTACTTGATAATTATATCATATATATACAATGAATGTCATATTATCATAAATTTTTACTGATTAATGTATTCACTGAACTTTACTTGATATACAAGTCAGAACTTTATAACTTTTTACGGTCAGATTGACAAAGAAACTGAATATTTATTATCGCTGTAAAACTTGACAGTTAAATTTCACTTTAGTAAATTTCATCAAAAGATAAATTGTCCTTCCATAAAATTCAATCATCCTATAAATTGATTTTTTTCCATATTGTGTTTCTAAATAGCTGATTCTCCCTGTGAGGAATCATTTATAAATGAATAATTTCCTCCTTAACTGCAAATACCACATGGCTATTCCATTAACTGTTTAAATATCGAAATCCATTTTATTTAAAACAAATAATTACTATAATTATAACAACTAAAACTGAATTGTGATTTGTGTACTGTACTGTCTTTCAAAAACTGGCAATATCATTGTATCATAATCCTTAATTTATCTAAGCAACAAACCTGTGTGTGTCCTGTAATGAGCCTTCAGGTGTGAACTTTTAAAGTATGTCTTGTCGCATCCCTTGTATGTACATCTGTGCGGCCTTGACCTTGAACTACCAATTACCTCTATATCTTGTTCTGTTGTGTGTCTCGTCAGAGGGGCCGGAGCAATGGGGCAAAGTCCTGGCATATTACTTGCCTTGCAAGTTGCTGCGCAGTTACTGTTCATGAAAATGACTTGAACAATGGGTGGCTGCTGCGTGATTTCCCCGTTAGGAGATCTTGTAAGCACTATGGGTAATGGGGCAACATGTGATCCTGATAAAGCATTAGGAAGAATTTTAAAATTGTTTGTGTTCTGAGTTTTGTCCAACTGTTCTACTGCTGATTTAAGAGGTTCTGCAATTAGAGGTGAAGCAGAAGAAGGATATTCCAATAAAGACGAGTCCTCTGCCTCCGATAACTGCACAGTGGCTGATGATGAATGCCCTGATAATGGTTTAATTCCAAGAATCTGTGATGATGAGGATGATATTCCTTGTAAAGTATTTGAGTCACTTAATGGAGTCATTTCAGTATAAATGGAATAAGATGGACTAGAGATAGAATACGAGGTTGTTTCACTTCCTGTTGAGTTCATTGTAGAAGCACCATTGAACAAATTGTTTTGACTATTTTGACAAACAGTAACTGGATCACTATTCTCTCTATTGTTACGTATAATCAGTCTTTTCTTTGCCGGGAGACAGGACTGACTCCTACTGGTCGGCACAATTACAGAGACTGGTTGACCTCTGCAAGGGTCACCTACTGAAGGTGCAGCAGACATCATGGTTTGTCCAGATTTTCTTTCTAAAGGTCCTTCCATCAGTAACTGAAAACAATATTAGTCAATTAGTCCATGCATGTAACTTCTCATTCCTAAAATATAGCAAACTGAAATGAATTACAGACCTTAAATTTAAAAGTATTTTATATATCCAAAAGAAAAATCTTATAAAACAGTGTTACAAATTGAATTAACACCTACAACAAAATCAACACGTATTTTGGTTTTCCTGTCCTATCAATGACTCTAGTCTAACAATGGTTAACATTTTAAACTCTTTTTATCATTAACATTTAAGTACTTAAGCTTCTCATTGTATAACAGCGGACATATATTTATCTATTAAATAAATACATTTAATACTTTTCATTTACCTGGGCCAACTTGGAGTCTCTCCCTAATGGAATTGCCCGCATTTTTTCTAAACTGTTAGATTCTGGTACAGCAGTGTAAGTGGCAGATGATGTAGAATCATAAAATGCGGCACCCATGTTTGAGCTCCTAGATGGACTAGAATATGGACCATATAAAGGTTGCGGTGGAGGGTCACCAGGAAGATTCCAAGGGTCATTGGATGTTGATGAACATGTCGAATCCATGCTATGCTCACTGCTTGCTGGGCTAGGAGCTTTACAGATAGAAAGCAGGGTCTCGACGGCTTCTCTCTCCGATGTCTCGTCTACGACAGACTTGGGACTGTCCATGAGTGTTCTACTGGACTGGCCCTAGAATATAAATAATAGATAATTATAAACTAAAATTTTCATTAACAAAATTATCAATGTTTTTCAGTATAGGTAAAAGTTTAGCTGCGCAACCAATTTAATTTTGTAAATACATACTAATAAATATTAACCAGCTTTAATAGTGTTTTAAATTAGTTTTATGAGCAGTCGATTTACTAGACTGATTAACAGTTTGCTGATTTACCAAAGTAACTGCATCATAATTCATTTGAAATACTGCAATCCTATTGGACAAAAAATAATTTCAAACACTAAATAAGAATAAAACCTCAATTTCATAGAAGGATAATTTAGTTAATAATAAACTTTTGAAATAAATTCAAATTAACTGCTGCACATTTATGATTCTGGAGTTACTTTGAAACTCATTTTCAGTCATATTATATACCAGTGTCACATTAGCTTGGTTTTTTTTCTAAATCATTGATAAATTTACAATTAAATATTAGCTAAATGTTATTTTTCATTGTACTAGGGAGTTAATTTAAATTTCAAATTTTGTTAATATTATTTTTAACTTAATATTTCATGTCATTAAATTGTCAGAAGGTTTTTGTAGACACCTTTAATATGCAGTCCATTATTATGCAAAACATTTAATGATGACAACATGCCTTTATAATTATATTTACTGTATTACTATAAGAAAATGTTAGGTATACCTATTATTAAATAGATATATATTAAAGGTGAATATTAGGTCACATCTGTCAATATTAATATATATTTAAGTGTATACTTGATGAACATAATTAATAAGTGTCATTTCCCTTTATTTCCTTTAAATGGTTATTAAACTATTCATAAGTAATGACTACAAATCAAATAATTATTCCTATAGAAGTCAAGAATACCACATGCTATTTTTTAAATTATTAATATTCATACCACAATAATTAAAATTATTTAATTCAGACTATATAACATCATTCCTTTGGTTTATATTTTTATTCTTATCCAAAATTAGAAAAAACACATCCACTTCATTTCTCAACTAAACACTATAAGTTTGAAATTCGAAATACAATGAACATCCAATTTAGTGAACTATCAAATTACAGTTTGTACCTTCGTTATTTAGATGTCCTTTACAAGTTAAAAGGACCTTCAATTGTTACATTAAATAATCCTTTAGTTATAACATCTTCATGCTCCAAATATCGAATGCCTGAAAAGGTCAAGTTTCAGGTAGGTTTACCATCAGTTGTCCATAGTTGATTACAAATAACTTGCTATTTGAGTTTCTTTTTTGAAAACAACTTCCTTTTTATGTTGTTTTTGATTGATATCTACAAAAATATAATATAGATCTAATTATGATTTTTTCAAGCATCATTTTATATGATCAATCCTTAGATAAGAATAAGAATATTTCATATTTTATTTATAAATTAGTAAGATTATAAATATTATCTTATTTTTGTGCAAAATAGTTTACAACAATGAAATAATGGCAATGTTGGGGGATTTGGGTGTGTAGTGCAATTTAATTCTGCGACAATGACATTTTATGAGTGACACATTTTTGATGCCTGATTATTAAATTGATAATATTCTGTTTCATAATATAGATTTTTTTTCATCTGTCCCACTTTTCACTTGATTAACAGATTAACATAGTCTTGTTGTTTCAGTACTGGTTGGGGAGATAAACTCGGCCGAAAATCAGTGTTTTGGGGGCATGTTTCATTTATTTGTTTAAGTATTCTGATGAATCTTGCACCATAATAAACTTCAGCTCTTCGATTTCCCGGTCTCACCATAAAAGTTATATTTAGAAACATAACGGGTAATTTTGAGAGGCCCTGGAAGAGGTAAGTAAAAAGAATATTTTTAACGCGCGCATGTAGATAATTCCGGCTCTTTGTTTTTCTTCTTAAATGAGTAAGTTAAAACGTAAAATAACATGTTTAGACATTTTATTATTTCTTTGCTGTTCATTTATGTCAAATAAAAAATATTTGTTACCAAAATTGTTGAGCATTACGTTAGTATAATGAATATCTATGATAACACGATATTTATATGCAACGTACTATGTAACATATAAATCATTTTTACGTAAAAACACATGCATTATCATTTATTAACGTATAACGAAATATGTAGTTAAAGAATTAGTGATTCAAATTTATTTTTGCTTAGCTTAACAGAGTGAAGAAGAAATTAATTTAGTGGTATTCAACCTACACATTAACATATAAAAGGAGCATTTAACATCAGTCTTTCAATCCATTCCACTTAAAGATTACAATTGTGTAATCAGCCTTTTTTTTTGAGTTAGCAAGACAAAGTGAGTCTGAATTTCATCTACAAAATGTATACGTAAACGTCGTCTGCTTTACAGGTAGTCGGTCAATATATAAAAGTACCCCTGTTTCCTGTGCGAGCCACAAAATGAGCATCTGCTGCACATGCGCACAACAATGGGACTCCCTTACTTTTTATAGGCATGTTTTGTAAACAAACAGGTAAAAGTCTGTGTTATTTTTTAAATATCTTACCAAACTTGACAAAATTTCCAGATATTGTCGAATTTCAGCGATAGTATGAGATGGTGAGCTTGATTAGATTAAAAATTCCGATAACTCCATTTAATTATAAAAAGCCGAGTTTATCAACCAGCCGAAGTTATCTCCCCAACCAGTAAAGTTAATTTTAATCAAAATATTTTTATAAATTTGTACTGTTGAAAATTTGCCGACTTGAAATAAAACTTATCTTATCTTATATTAAGGAGCATATCAATAAATAATTTAGTGATGAAAGAAGTTCATACACAGGGTTGTCATTAAGAGCCGGCAGGAGGCCAAAATGCCTGTCTCAAATGCATTATGGGCCGCCTCAAAATTAAGAAAACACTCTTTGTTATGCATGATAAAGACAGAAATGACCGCCTCAAGTTCAAAACAAACCTTCTGCAAAAAATATTAATGACAACCCTGCATACATAATTAACAATATTTGATATATTAGACAATAAGTTTCTTTGGGTGTCTTGGTGTAGTCATGGGACTAAAAATGTGCATCTTTCTGTCCCAAAGTAGTCTTGGGGTATCAAGAGGTGTCTTGGGGTAAATAGACCAACCCCAACTAATGTACCTCGAGACAAGATATTGTGCTTTTCGTGCTATTTTGGGCAATATCTCGCCTCTACCACATAGAAGCAAGATTCTGACCCAGCACGAAAATATCTCAGCATCTTGCTTTGGCATGTCAATAAGATACTGTAAGCAAGATAAAATAACCATTTTTACGGATTTTTACTAAAAGTTACTTTTTACTTTACTTTTATCTAGCTCAAATAGAAATACTAAATTACTATATCGACTTATGAGAAATATATCACTAAAATTTAAATCATACATTTAATTTTACTGTGAACAACAGCAACTGCACGTAGAATACAACTTTGAGTTATCTTTCAACGTTATACTTATTGAACTCCCAAGTCTGAAGTGCAGTATGACAAATCTAGGTCGATTGTATAACTTGACCTATTGATATACAATCGGTGGTTCAAGTTCAAATTAAACATCATTCACTTCTATAAAAAGAAAACAAGAACTTTAACATCAACTTACATAATTAATTCCAAGAGAACAAATGAATGCAACAATACTATAAGAAATACTACACAATCACTCGTAATATATTTTAACTGGTCGTGATTTAAGCGTGGAAATCATGCGCAAAGGGAAACAACTCGATGCAGTCTCAAAGAAGTCTTACACAACTAAAGTCGCAGAGAACAGGAGTCTAATATTTACCTTGCATCACTTTTTAAAAGTACACTGAATTGAATGCTTTTAACAGTTAAATGATGACTGGAACAATAAATGTGTTATTTGTCAGTTCTCTCAGTCACATCTCATTTCATATTTTGAATGATTAAAAAATTTATTAAAGTAAAAATCACACCGTTGGGAGCAAGTTTACTGTACCCTATTGCATGGATCATAATCGCGCTGTACTTTCAAAATGTAAATAAAAGATGCAGAAGATACACAAATAAAACTTTTGTTTGAAAGATTTTGAGATAAAAAAGATTGTAAAGTATCAACAAACGAAAATGACAACAATAGCAAAGAATCACAATGTGACAATGCGAGCAGACGATGTGTTTCAAAAGATAAACTTACGTATATTTCCGAAGACGGCGGCGTTTTCGGCGGGGTTGGCGGATAAACTCCATCCACAAGTTTCCTTTCCATATCCTATATATTTGTTTAAAATAAACGAAACACTGTAATGTAATTTTCTCTCCGAGATGCTAAAGGGGTGTGTGTGAAAAATCATAATAAATGTGACCATGACCTGGAGAAGGTAGGTCCACTTTAACCAATCAGAATTGAGGGCACGACTTTCACAGCCAATGAAAGCGCAAGGAACGACTGATCAGCGGCTGATACTACCTTGGAGGCACGTGGTTTATGTTTGTAAACTAATCATGCGCCAAGAGCATGGAGTTACGTTTGAAGCGACGCTTGATAATCACGTAAGGCGGGAAAAGGTAGATAATAAAGAAAGAAAGGTGAATAGTTTTATAATTAAACATTTAATAAAGCTCCCTGCGGAAAAGCACGTACGACAGATGGTGAAATGCATATTCTACATTAAAATAAGCTACTTACAGTAGCGCAAAATGATCTAGAATAGATCTATATATATCTAGATCTACATTTCGTCAGCCACATTAGATCTATCACATAATTCTATCACATAATTATGGAAACGATAATGTTTTTATTAAATTTAAATTGGAAAATAAGCAATCCGGGAAAAGATGTAGATTGTATGAAGACAGGGAATATATATTTACGCATTTAAACTGGGAATTAAAATATTTATTAAAGATCTATATAGATCTATCTATTACAAATGAAATATTGATGAGATAAAATGCTTATTTTCATTTTCCGAATTTTTCGCCGCAGTGGAACATAATTTCCGTATTTCCACTGGTGTCTTGTCGGACTACTTAATAATACACACAATTTAAGATGGAGTCTTTCAAATTCTAATGTCTAAATTGAGAAATTTGTATATTCAAGTGTTGTGTTGTTTTTTTTCCAACAAACACAGAATTTATCTTCATCTTATGGTATGAGAATTATCACATTTCACTCCTGGCTACCGCCACTCATGAAATATTTATTTTCATGCCACACGATGAAAATAAATCCTGTAAACTTAGATCAAACTTGAAGATCAAACTTGAATATCCTCCAGATTTAAAAAATGCAAAATATAATTTCTTATCAGGAACTTACAAATGAAATATGTAGATACTCGTACATTGTACTTGGTCTGAGATACAATTTTATGAGTTTGTCATATATATTTATTTACATGCACATATATTATTAAAGGAAATGTAATTGCAGAGTTAAATAAAGTGAAAAATGCTCAGTAGTTTCAAATAACATCAGGGATAACTTTTGTACCAGATCTCTGGTATTTTCTTGCCGATAAATTAGCTCGCTAATTGATGTTGTTGTTTATTTTTTGCTTTCACTTTATACCTACATCACGTTTCTAAATCTAATGATTCAAGGTTCTTATTAAAAGACTTACTCCTTTAACAATTTTTCATTGTTTGGAAAAAGTAATTAACTTCCCAGAATTGATAATACTGATATTTTAGCCCACCAGGGGAAAAATGCTCAAATGTTTTTCTTATGGCAGTGTGTCCGCCGTTCGTCCACAATTTTTGAACATCGCCTTTTTCACCACTTGATTGATTTTTACCAAACTTCATTAGAATGATCCTTAGGTGGCCCTGTACAAAAGTAATACTGATGATCTGCTGTGTAAGTAGGTGACAGGAGTTAAAAATATACTTACATGTACCTTAAAATGAAATCTTAAAAATTAGTTTCCCCATAAGCTACAATGCCCTGAGCTTATATTTGGCTTGTAACATTGCCTAGTGAACCTCTAAAGCATGGACCTCTACACAAGTGACATAAATCATGCCCCTTTCCATCCAACCCTAATTTAAAAATGTTTTTAAAACCCTGTTCTCCGAAACAACAATGCGCAGAACATAGATATATTTGGCAAGTAGCTCTAGCGTCCTTTTGTTGTCCTCTTCAAAAGTTATATAAATCATGACCCTGGAGTTAAAATAAGTCTTGCGCCGTGGGTCAGTTCGTTTCTGTTGATTTACATACATTTATAAGTATTTTTAGATTTGCGGTATGAAGCATTGCCTATTCCTCTACAGTCATGTCCCAATGATCAAGAATTGTGCTACCCTTGCGATGACTTAGTTTAAATGGACTTGTAGTGTCAGGTTTTAAGATCCTCTTCCCTGATGCTAAAATGTCAAGAAGTTTGGTACATGAGAAGCAGCACCACCTTATGGTCTTCTTCGGAGTTACGTTTGGGCTAAATTCGCACCGTCTAGGATCACTAAGTTCATTAAATACACCGTGAAGCTACTGTGCCAAGAGCCTAAATGTTTGACATGTACCACTGCAGTGTATTTCGATAAGTAATATAAGTTATGACCCTTGTGACAAAATTAGTCGGGCCCTGGGGATCACTTAGTTTACTTACACTCACTTAAAATCCTCTCCTGCTCAGACCATATATATTTGGTGTAGCATCACCTTGCAGACATATTCTTCGCTCTGTGTCATTTTATTGTTTATATAGATTTAAACTGGAAGCACAATTAGCTTATATAAGTATGATAGAGTGAGTCCACAATGCCCAGAACCTCAATAGTTTGCATGTAGCATTGCCTTTTTAACGTTAACCTCTACAAAAGATATAAGTTATGCCAGTTAAAATGGCAACCTTCCTTGGTTACTTAGTCTACATAGACTTATAAACAAAAATACTGATGCATTTCAAATCTTCTTCTCCGAAATTACAATAGTAAGAGCTTTAATATATTGCATGTAGCATCACCTTCCTGTCTTCTACAAAAGTTTAATAAATTAGCCATGTCATGTGGTCAAAGTTGGCTCTGCCATTGGGGTCCAATCAGTTTAAATACATTTATATTTTTTATATAATGAAATACATCCAAGTCTTCTTGTGTGGAACTTAAATACTTAGACCTTAGATAGTTAGCATGTAGCATTGCCTTGTGGACTTGTCCATAAGTTACATAAATCGTGTCCTTGGGGTGAAAACTGGCCCAACAAGAAGATCAATTTGTTTATGAAAACACATGCAAGGCTTCTTCTAAGGCCTAGAGCTTAGATTTTTTGGCGTGTTGAGCATGTGACATCGCACTTTGGGGTCCCGCGCACTTAAGGGTCCGACCCCAAAGCGCGTTATACTTTGCATCGTACTTTAGGGTCCAACGCACTTTGAGGTTAAAATCGAGAAATTGGACCCCAAAGTTCGTAACGCACTCTGGGATCGGACCCAAAAGTATGTTAAGTATGGACCTCGACAAAAGTTACATAAATCATTTCACTGGTGTAAAAAATTGACCCCAAACCTAGTGGTCACTTTGTTTACATGAAAAATGTTGTAAAAATCTTCCGCTCTGAAAAAAAAAACAATGCCGAGAGCATATACACTCGATGTTCGGCATATGTAGCATGATTTTGTTGTCCTCTATAAAAGTTACATAAATCATGCATTTGGAGGTACAATTGGCACCATTCAGTCGGTTACTTACCTTTTATAGACATAATATAATAGTAAACACTTAAAGGCTGGTTTAAATGTGGAGTCCGTCAAAAAAGCCAACAATGCAGGACAATTACAAAAAGAAGCTTGAAATTGCTTGAAAATAAAGGGTCGCCTTGAAAACTCATTGAAAGTCTGCATCGGCAGCACTTTATATGTTTTGTCAAGTTCTTTACCACGAAAAGAACTTGAATTTTAAAGGATATAAAGCTATGTCTATATGGAATCAATCCAAACAAGTTCAGTCCCTCAGTCAACATCACACATCAGCGATCAATCCCGTTTCACTAAAATACAAATATTTTTTTTCCTGTTATTTAAACACTTGTATATATTATATATTTAATGATTATTGTCAAATTTTAAAAATGAAATACACTATTGCTATAAGCATGTTGTGTTTGTTTTACTGGGCTCGCGCGTCTACAAGTTTCCAATTCAATTTATCAACGTCTGGCACTGAAAATGTGGTTTACGTCACGGTCATATGGCGAAGTTCCAGTTTTACTGGCGGAGGAAGACCTCAGGTGCCCTTCCTTGCCCTTGAGTGAAACCATTGACATTCCGCACGCTAGCTGGATAGCTTACTCACATGAAAGAATCCAAAGTCCCTGTCGGGATTCGAACTCACAGCGGTGAAGGGCAAGTTGTTTGAAGTCAACGTCCTTAACCACTCGACACCGGAGCCCCTCTGGATTGTGAACATGGCAAGGGGAACAACTGTATACAACTTTTTACCGATTAAGTCTATCGCTATTACAAGGGATATTTCCGTACATACTTTTACAACCGATGATTTCAAGAAAGTCGTGGCAGAACAGTTACTTATAGATGGGAGAATCAACTTTACACGTTTATCTTAGAGATTCACTTTTTATAAATATGAAAATACGAGGAGATAGCTACTATAATAAATGTGTCACGGAAACAGGCCTCAAAACACCTACACTTCGGAATGTATAAATTTATGACATAAAGATAATGCCAAATATAACACAGCTGATATTCAACGACATCAACTTGACTGCTCTTTTATTACACAAATTGGGTGTTCAGCGCCTTAGCTATGCTAGTTATGGCAGTCCCACGTTGTAAAATGTATATTGCTGAAATTTTAGTACTTGTACATGTCAAAATTCTTGTGATATTATTACTTTTGTGAGACCTCCTCGACTGAATGTTGTCCTGTGTTTTCAAATTATACCATATTTGTTAAACTTCCATGTGAAAGAGCTACCCTGCTAACTAGCAAAATATCAGTGTTCTACTGAGGTGGGGTTCTACGGAGGTGTGGTTCTACTGAGGTGGGGTTCTACGGAGGTGTGGTTCTACGGAGGTGTGGTTCTATTGAGTTACACGCATATACCAAACACGGAGGGCCGGCAGAAAAGTTTAGTTGTTGCATTTGAAACATTACAATGTCAATGTCACTTAGAAAGAACATGAAGCGATTGTGTTGTTGTTGTTGTTGTTTGCTCATGTTTAATTAAAATCCATTCGATAAAAGATTTCGACAAATGGTAAGGTTGGAACATCCTTAGATTGTCTTAAAAGGATTTAAAATAAAAAGGTGTAATTTGGAGTGAGAAGAAAGTAAATTTCATTTTTAACTTTCAGTAAATGGAGCGAATTTCCCTTTTTGTTTTTTTTTATGAACAGCGGTCGGGGCCTCGATAGGCCTTAATCCCCCAAGGCCCTTTGTAAACGCACATAAATTTTTTGTTAAAACTATAGTTTTCCCTTTTGCGGGGGAACATGCGATCAATAAAGATGTTTGTAAAATACAAATTTTTCAAACCACTTTTTAAGTGAAGTTGTGAAACACATTTTTGGGGGATGTAGTTACCCCCCGGATCCGACAGAGATCACGCTGAATTTATCAGAGCCAGTTAGTACCTACTTCCTGGATAAGCTGTAAACCCATTTCTAGTCTATTGCCTTCATTCCCCAAAAAAGTGTATGAAAGGTCAGTGCAAATACCGTAAAATGATTTATGATCAAAACAAAGAAAAAGATTGCGCCGTAGGAACGAACCAGGGTCGCCCCATTATATTTCAACGCTTAGCTATTGAGCTAACGGGAAATTTTTTTAGTGATTGGGTTTTATTTTCGAATCATTTTTAGAAAGATATGAACGGAACACTTTGATCGATGTTGAACCCATGAAAACCCAATTGCGATATGAGAATATTAAAAGGGCAGGAAATTGTCTCAGAAAAATGAGGTAATTTCCACTCCAAAATAATAGGGGAAAAGAAAAAAAGTGCCGTAAATTCATTTTAAAAAATTTAAAAATTACGGCAAAAGGAACATAATGAACATTTCGATGATGTTTTGTTTAAAAATATCCCTGAAGTTTTGTTGAAAAAAAACCCCTTAAAATCTAGTCCTTCGTTATTGCTTTTTTCCCGTACACAGAATGCGCATGCACGAAATGAAACTTCCGTTTTAAGGGAAATATCGTATTGTAAAAAGGTCTATATAGGAGACATTCATTGGTGGTTTCACCACGATGTTTTTACATGGCTATATGATTCAGGACTTTTCATTTATCTAATTATTGTAAAATTGCGTGATACATTCATGATAACGGACAATGTTTTTAGCTTTCTCCTAAATCCTTTAATATCTGTGACAATATTTACATTGTGTGTATGATAAAAATCAAATCACAAGGCAAAGATAAAATTTTATTGAGTTATAAGGTTATCGCTAACTTTGTCAATGTAAATGATACAAATTAAATATATGATGATGCTAACCCTGTCAATCCGAGTCCTCGCCGATTAACGAAATGTGTCGGAAATTGCCGAAAATACGAGAAATTAAAACCGTTTCAATACCCGCATCCCAAGAATCCCAAGACGCAAACGGATTCTTCAATTTGAATTGAAGGGAAAAAAGAAGAAATATTAGACCACAGCTGTTTTCTCTCAGCCAATCAGATAAGTTTAAAAGTGTTTGATATATCCCACACACCACAGTAAAGTGTTTGATATAACTATCATTTTTGTATTCAACTGAAACGAAAAACCCGTTATGTGCACGCTTTATGCGGGGAAAATTTCTATGTATATGGTAAAGTAAATAGTGTAATGCCCCTTTTAAAATCAAAGAACAGAAGGCGTTGAATTTGTTTGGGTCTCAGAATGTCAGAAAGGTGAAGGTTGTGAGACTAATAACCAATTGGTTTTTGTATAGTGCCACCAATGCTTTCCAGCGTTTTAATTGTGGTAAATTGGCTATAAGACTAATTGCAACACTGATATTCAATTCAATGTTTATTTAACTTAAACAATTTGAAAAAAAATGAGTTGCCTTAATTGGGATTTGAACTCCAGACCTCTCGCTTCTTAAGGGAGTGCCCTAACCCCTCGGTCACGGCAAGTTATATGTTAACGGCCTGAAGAAAACCATATTATTCTAAATTAGGGTTTGTAACCCTTATTATTTCGACGCTAACTGTTGTTTAAGACAAATGTAAATAATCATGGAGCTTACTATATATAAGCATGTATATCTATAAAGAATTAAACAATATAGGAAATATTCGACAATACGGGAACTATTTTGCTTGAAAATTAATGCGCCTGTCATTTCACCATCTTTACGCAGTGATCTCTTCTGAATTTTTCGGCGTTAGTGTACATATAAAGGGAATTAACCGCTTCAAAAAGCGGACTTCTTTCGGCATTTGCAATTAACAGCACCAGGGTCTGATATTTCGCTACCATTATTTGTTTGGTCTGACGACAATTAAAAAACCTAACAGATAGCAATAGTCATTTGACCAATTTATTTCGTCATTTCAATAGTTACTGTATTTGTTAATAAGAAAAAACAAGCAATAATAAAATGAAATGCGTTTATCAAAAACTACTTAAATCTATATATGTATCTTAATTTTACGACCCCTTTTGTGTTACTGTAATATTGTCAGGAACATTTCAATAATCTCATCCTGAAATATGCCCAGCTCACTCTTAATAGCAGACATTGTAGATTTACATTCATTTACTGGTTTGGGAAGAGGGGATTCCACTGGTGGGGAAGGGGATGGAGTTTCCGAAATGTTACTGGGCTGCAGTTGCAACGCTAAGGAAATGCTATGCTTTAAGGCTTTTCAGAGGGACGTTTGTAAACTTTTTAGTTCATGAATGAGGTAAAAAACGTCAATGCAGGATGTTTTATAATGTAAATAAACAAATCTATACGTCAAGTAAAATATTTTCAACTTCAGCCGGACAACCATAAATATCCTGTTCCATTGAATTGTTTAAGCATTTAAGAAAACGTTTAATGAATGTTACCTGCCCGTTTCTCCCCAACACGCCCGCGGGCTCTTGATAAGCAGCCATCGCCATGATTTCTGTCTAAGAGTATTTTACCGTAAGCAGTTTTGCTTCTTGACTTTTTATTCAAGGCTGTATACGGTGTTGTCATTAAATCATTTAACTGAGGAATCAACATAATAACAACAAAATATCTCACTTGCGAGATATATAATATTATCACATTCAGAAATGTTAAATTTCTTCCCAATTTTCTTCCTGAGTAAGAAATTTTTATGGAATTTAAATCTATCATTCTAAGACATATGAAAAATAACATGAATTATGCCGTTTTATCGTGCATTTTATTGCGAAAAAAGGCCAAACAGATTGAATAAGAAATATTTGGATATCCCTATGTAATAGTAGAAGAATAAAAAGTTTACGCATGTTTAATCTTCACCTTAAACAGAGAAAACTACCTGTGGTCTAAGTCAGATAGATCGCTCGTACCAGTTGGATGTGAGATTTATCAACTCGCTTCGCTCGTTGATAAATCTCACATCCAACTGGCACTCATGATCTATCCTATACATATATTTGGAACATTGCGTAATTGACTAGTTTTTTTTTTAAAATGACATAATTACGTTGTATGATAAACGTGACATGCTTTTGAACTGTGAACGTACAATTACATTTTTGATGCAGATAATTACAAAAACGAATGGTCCAAAGTCGAGAGTCAATTTAGTACAGTAATACTTTTATCATTCCAAAAACATTACGTAGCCGTATATAGATGATATTGAATGAGTGTAGGTTCAATAGTGAATTTATTGAACGAGTTGAATTAGATAATATTACGCGAGCCTCTCTGGCATAATGTTATTTAATTCAACGAGTTCAATAAATTTAGTCATAGACCTACACAATTATATAATATTCTATTTATCACATACTTAAAAAGAACGATTTTCATTTAAACAATCATGTTTTTTATTGACAGGAGTACAAACATTAGCGTGAGGTCACGTTACGGCCGTGCAATACCATTTTTACGGAGTGACAAAAGCGGCAAAAGTATTTTACTTGTTCATTTGAGTGTTGTTGTTGTTGTTGTTGTTGTTGTTGTTGTTGTCGTTGTCGTCGTCATAGTGGCCACCTTCATGTCAAGGTATGGTCTATAAATAACAGTTTCATGTGTGTACCCGCGTTCCTTAATCTTAATCATCGTTTATGACTCCGGATGTAAATTAATCTTTTAAATCGCGTCCATCTTTTCTTTGTCTAAATTTGTTGAGTTCTGTCATAACGATGTTAACTCTTTCTTGTCGGTCAAGCTGTGTAAGTTCCAAGTATTCTATATCATTTTTATGCAGCTCTTGTTTGAACTTGGCATGGAACTCTCTCAGTTCCTCTATTGGTGACGGAAGTCGAACATTGTCGTCAGTGATGCATTCTGGGTGCGGTGATACCAGTATAACAAATGATCTCCGCATCCTGATGTGGTAAAATAATAATACAGTCTAATGTAACGCTATGTAGCTTATGTATAACAAATATATATATACTTGTAAAATGTATTTGTTTGAAAAGAAACGTCAACCCTGTATGTACCATGTTGATGTTCATGTAATGAAAAGAAAACAACATCACATAATATTATCTGTCATATTGTACGGAAAGCAACACACTGGTAAATTGTTATGCATTATAAAAACATGAAAAGAAATAAATTACATTTCACAAACGGCTTGAACAGTAAAATGAACAGGACACCTGGTAGGCATATATATAGTTGTTTGATGATGAAAAGTGGTCTTTGTGTGCTTTGCATTTGGAACAGTCCATTTGAATGTTATAGGCGTTCATTACCAACTAAAATGAGCTGCCAACAGTGTAAAGCCAGACTTCACGGACGTGCAGGCTAGCCTGGCAAAGGCTGGCACTTTCGGTTCCAGCAGAGTAATGGTTACAAGGTAATGGTTAAAATGTCATACCTATCCAGCCATTCTTGTATTCCGTGCAGTTTATACATCGATTCTTTGGCCTGTTCACTTACATAATAACCGCAATAAATAATTGGATCTAGAGCTCTGTCACATATAAAATCTGAAAATATAAAAACATCTGCTTTATTGATACTTATTACTGTATTATAATATGCCTCATTAAAAGTCTCGAACATAGTTTTATTTATATTTCTAAAAAGCATTTATTTTTGGTGTCCTTTTATGACAGTAGTTTCCAAAAAATACTTATTGGCCAATTACATGAACCTTTTCTTTTGCTTATTTCTTTTCTGGCAATTAGTACAATTATTGTAATATAGTATTTTGTTTGGAAGTAACATACTACATTGTTTACATTTTGCTACTATCATGATCAAAAAAATAATATATATATTAAAAAATACGCGTCCATGCTCCTTCATTTTGGAGGAAATAAAAGTATCTATCTATCTGCTACTTTCTCTTAAGTAAGCATCTAACATGCCCAAAAACCATTATTTAAATGTTTTAAAAAACTCATGTTGCGCCTTCTCTCTTCTTTTATATAAAAGAAATGCAATTTTTTCATTTCTGGACACATTCTGTGACTTTAAATAAACAATATTATGAAGCCCTGAAATTGTTAGTTCGATTTTTAGCCCAGGAAATTGGCCTCTTCACTTCTTTTATCTCTGCTAAACAAAATAAATGTTTTTTGTCCTACGCATATATAATACATACTGGAAAAACCTCAATACGTATACTTTTTTACGCTCAATAAATCTTTTGTGAAAATTGCTTTTGCGCAACATATGTTAATGACATCTTAAAAGGTTTGTGATATAGAGGATTGCAGAGTCGCAAAACGGCACAGATATGTGATAAATAGAAGATGAGAATAATTCTAATATTGAATTAAATGGGTATAAGCAGGGTCTTTCAAATAGTGACTTGAGACAAAAGTGGTGCTAAGAAAAGGGTCTGCCCTACAAGCCGTCATGGCGTAATAGGGACTCGAATTTCTAGTGGTCTCTGCCAACCATATAGGACCACTCCCCTTGACTTCAGGCAGATATATAGATAATATTCATCGTAATACTACTGTATAACTGAATTATCATGGCCACGAGAATATTTGTCGTTTATTAGTTCAAATCGCCTTTCCGTGTACATCGGCATACCCGAAGTCGATGTATCACATACGAAGTGACCATTTATCACTGTGATCGGGCAAATAGTTACACTTTGTCCATTTGTCTTCCAATAAGAATGTAACGAAATAATTTATATATTTGACGCATGTAGGTATATAAAACTGAGTAGATAGTCAAAAATACATGTATATGGCGATGTTTCATGTATTTTTTTGCAACGCTTGACAAGTCATTTGGATCTTGTTGATCAGATTATATTAAATCTATATGAAAATCAATCATTTACCTTTCATCGTCTATTTTATCCTTTTTTCCACACGGGTAACCAGACTTACCCATTAGTGTACATGTAGTTTATTATAACATCATACATTTCTTTTCTTTATTTTATTTTATTCATTAAAGGCACTTTAAGCCTCGGAAATGAATATGTTGTTTTTTCTATAGAATGGGCAAACATGTGTTTTATAATGCTGTAATAATGGAGTATTAGAATATTCAAGACGATATTTAAAGATATATTAAGCTTATAACCTGAAGAAAATAGCACTGAATGTGAAATAAGTTGTATAGAAGATGAAGCAAAATGTTAATAAAAGTAGTATTTCACTTCCATACAAAATACTAAATCATTACATCTGTACTAACAGTCTCAATATTTCGACTGCAAGATCGGCCAATTTTTCAAAGATATTGCTAGATGGGCCCTCTAAAACCCGGCCGTCATATTACAAAAAAAAGACTGACCAAAATTTTGGCTACTGTGCTAATTTGCCCCACAGGCAAAACACAGATGTCTCAACTGCCGGATATTTGGCCATTGAGTAACCAATTTCGAAAAATTGGTAACAGAATTACAAAAATAATAATATAATAAAAAAAAACAATAAATAAAAATAAAGAATAAAATTATACGCAGTATAAGGTTAATTTCCTCCTGCCGTGCATGAAAATTGTCTCTGCTCTTTTCTTTGAATATTTTATTTTTCGAAAAAAAACATATGGCAGGGATAGTCAAAAGACACCACCTGCTTTGAGGAAACTCAATCAAACAATCGGAGGCATCTTGAAACTTTGTTGACAAGTCTGAGAGATGAACCAGATTTCCTTGCTTTAAACCTTCAATAACGCCAAAAAAATATAAAGAAATAGTTTACCTTCACCTGAACTTGAAATACTTTAAATATCGGTTAGCAATCTGTGCTTACCTAAAATTTCCCTCATTCAGCTGACGAAATACATTGGGTGTTTGTCCTGGTATGAAAATTCGTCAACGTGACCAACCATGATTTTTAATTATACCACGTGCGACCTCTTCAACGACCGTTACATCGCCTAAATGTGGTCTGAGATCGTTAATAACGTCGTTTTACCCGTGCTGTGTGGGCCACAAATATATATCCGTAAAATGTCACTTCCAAGATTCCCATTTAACATGTTTTTATTTTATTATTTTTCAAATTTGTTTAGTTAATTTATAAAAACACACGACTTTCTATCATAAAATTCTCTTAAATATAAAAGAACGTGCATGCTGAAGTAAACCGAATAACTTGATTTTCAAAAATATATGATCAAACAATGTTTCAAAATAATGTATATTCATCATGGATAAAAATAGAATATTTCAAACATGAAAACATATCTTAATATTTTTATGATCCGTTTTTCGAAAAGAAAAACCACCGAAGCCTTAAATTATATTTAGTTTTTACAGATCGAGTAAATAAAATTATATTCTTTTTTTTTTCTTTTTTTTTTGTTGTAATTGTTTGCGTACGTTTTCGAAAAACGCTCTAGATCTTATCATAGATGACACTAATCAATACAATTGTAACAAGTAGGTTTTAATAATACACCCTTTAATAATATACGTAAAACTATGGTCGTTTTCCGAAAATCATGCAAGACAAAAGTTCTGCCTTATTAACTTCCTTTAGTGATTGATTTACGATATTTTAAGGTCGTAATATTGGGTTGTACGTCAATTCATTCAACAATTGACATGTGAAGCGCATTCTATCAACCAATATTATCTTCTACATAAAAAATCCCCTGTTATCTAAAGCTTCCGTATATCCTCATATAGGTGAAAATCGTATCGGATGCAGCATTGTATCCCTTTGATATACAATTTCGGAACTTCACCAATACTTGTTTTCAGAAAATAAAAATATCGCATTGTTTATTAATGGAAATCCGAAATACAGCGATTAATTAATTGATTAGAAATAAAGGACTGTGTTGTTCATGTATCGTCAATATTTCATGATAACACCTTTGATAGCATCAGAAGTGCTATTGACACATTTTACCCAGCAAACACAAGACGTCACACTGACGTCAGATTTAAGTCAGGTTCTGACGTTGGATGACGGTCGAAAAAACGGTAGGATTTGAAAGTTTTTTGACGTAATAATCTGACGTCAGGTAGACGTCAGAATCTAACCATTATGTAACCATTTTCTGACCAAAATCTGACCATTTTCCAACCAAAATCTGGCCGTTATCTAACCAGTTTCTTACCATTTTCCAACATCAATCTGACCATCTTCCGACCTAAATCTGATCATTTTCCGACCTCAATCTGACCATTTTCAGATCTAAATCTTAATCCTTTTCTGACCTAAATCTGACCATTTTCTGACTTTAATCTGATCATTTCCCTAATCCTTCTTGTTTTACCATGTAATAAATATTTTCTGGCCAATCCTGATTTGATCAAATTTAATGTAACTCATTCTATTAAGTAACTTTCCCTCCAATGAAATGTATAACAAAAAAGTAAAAGGAAAAATTTGTTTTTATGTTTTTTTTTTTATTTAAAATAAAAGTTGCAATTTAAAGTTGATACATACAGTTTTAGTAAATTCTGCAAGGCTAAATACTTTTTATAAATTAAACAAAATAAAACATGAAATAAGTTAATAACAAAAAAAAAGTATTACAAAAACAATGACATAAATGAAACTAAGAAAACGTATACAATTTATTAAAGAACAAAACAATGCATGTACATTTCTATCAAAGTTTGCCTTATCAAACAAAATAATGAAAATATTATACTTTAAGAAAAATTAAAAGATTCGGGTAATAATGTTTCAAGCAATTAATGACAGATTTTCAGTATTTTAACTATAATTCTAAAGTATTACTAAAACATTTAGTGCTATTTTTCATATTTTGACCTCCTTTTGATAATTGTCACTGACGTATTAATTACTTCCTTTTAATTACTTCACAAAGTTATACTTTTAAATATCCACGAGAATTAGCACGAATTTGGAGTTGTGATACTTTTAGATATATGACCTTCTCTCACCACCCCCTCGTCTGTCCGGAGAATATGTTAATGTCCAATAGCGTTTGTGATATCATTTTCACTGGAAAAAAAAAAGAAATTTATGAACATTGGAAAAATAATGATTAAAATGAAGCCTCATTATATATTACAAAAACATAATTAGATAATCAATCAATTCGCTCTTTCATTTATTTCCTTTTCATTTATTAGAATGATAATTATTAAAATCTGGTGTAAAACACATTAAGGTAAGATTTATTGTGATCAAAAATTGGGCCGATTGGGAAAATGCCGAAATGTCTGGGACCGAAACGTCTTGGTCCGAAATGCTCGAAATCATATACATGATAATGTAAATTCATTCTCAACTCTCAGATTTTAACTGACAAAAACATCACAGTTTAAAATATGAAAACTAAGCATTGTCTTTGGTAGTACTGATAGGCACATTATAAACGCTTCACAAGCAGAGTTAAAACATGCCAAATTTCAAACGATTCATTATCAAACAAACTATCGCGAATTTGAGTGACATTTTGCTTCAACAGTTCAAATAATGATAATCAAATTTAAGAATGCTTGCAATCATGCAATTATTTATCAAGTACAAAGAAGAAATAAAGTTAAATAAATTGAACTGACCTTTTTGTTCAAGAAAATCTGGAATATTCACGTTATCAATGCATCCCGATTCCTGACTGACAGCCAAAACGTACGAAACGCCTACGAATTTGAATTTTCCATCCACGTGGCTGTATATTCGAATTATAATTATGTTTTCTTTCCTTTTTCTATCACTATGATTAAATTAAAAACTAGTGATTTTGATACATATAATGTACCACAAATGATAATATTATAACGTTAAATGAATGGAACTCGTACACAGATCTGTGGCTATAAATAGCTTTCATAACAATAACTTATGTAACTTGCCTATATACAGCGCCACCTATATGTTTTATTAGGTTGCAGCGCCGTGCATTTTGTCTTCGAAAGGCACTTGTATATATATATATACACTTCATTTGTAAGCCAAATAACATTTTAAAAAAAGTTTAAATGATTACAACAGCGAATAAGGATTATTTTTTGTTAACTGTTTACCTACCGTCAGGACACCGACCAGAACCTGACGTTAGTACGACGTCAAAAATAACGTCTAATAGACATCGGTTTTTGGACGTCAGATTTACGTCGTATTTTGGCCGCCGACACTCAAAAATTCAACAGAAATTTTCTATGTTGACAATTATTTTTCGGGTAACATTCACGCAATATTTGTATTTTATATGAATTTGATTAAACAACGTCGTGTTAGAAAAGAGAAAATGTTCATAGAATTTCTTTATTTGAAAATGTAAATATTAAGCATGTTAAAAGTTGACAGGTCATTTTCTATTCCATTACACAAAAGAAAAATTATTTGGGTAACCCCCACGCGTACTTTTATTGTTGATAACTCCCACGCAATATTTTATATACAAGCAATATCTATGCTAATTTGTACCGTCAGAGATTTGAACCAGGGTCGCCCGATTCACAGTTTAACGCTCTAGCTATTGAGCTAACCGGACACATTTTGTTTTGATTGGTTTGATATTTCAGGTCATCTATAGATAAGGTATGACGGAACCGACTTATAGTATACGACTGTTCGAACCTATGAACACCAATTGCGATATGAGACATATTAAAAGGGCAGGAAGTTGTCTCAGAACCATGCAGGTAATTCTCCACTACCAATAATACATAGGTGAACAGAAAAAATGTGCCGTAATTCATTTTAAAATTTACAAATTCACGGCAAAAGGAACATAATGACATTTCGATGATGTTTTGTTTAAAAATATCCCTGAAGTTTTGTTGAAAAAAAACCCCTTAAAATCTAGTCCTTCGTTATTGCTTTTTTCCCGTACACAGAATGCGCATGCACGAAATGAAACTTCCGTTTTTAGGGAAATATCGTATTGTTAAACGTTCTATATAGAAGAATTCACTGGTGGTTTCATCACGATGTTTACATGGCTATATG